ATGACTATTTATATAGGCAATGAGTTTTCTGAATAGTTTCTCTGTATATGTTAAAACTGAAAACTATCATGTACTAGAGAGACACCTGTGGTAACTTTCAACGAACCAGTTTGGGTACTGGAAGCAGTCTAGCCACAGTCGCATGGAATCCCCATGACAGCATCTGTCCAAGTAGCAGGGAATCAATCTCTCTTCTCTTACCTCTGCAGCTGTTCTAGTGCTAACCGATGTTCTTTAAGTTTCTGTTGATACTGATATTGCAAATTCTCTTGTTTATGGGTTTCCTTGTCAAGTTTTTCCTGCAGTTTGTCCAGCTGTATCCTAAGTTCGCTAACCTCTGCTTCTTTAGTATGTTCACGTGTTTTCAGATGGGCGAACATAGCATCATAGTGCTCCAGCTCTCGATCTCTCTCATCCAGAACTTTCAGATTATAGGTGAAATCTTCTTTTAACCTGTTAAATTTTTTTTGTATTTCTTGGAGCTGTTTTCTGGAGTCTTGAAGCATTGTCTTTTGAAAATGAAGTTGGCGAGCTTGCAGCTCTTTCCATTCCTGTTCTTTCCACACAAGAAGCTCATTTAAGTCTTTTTCCATGTGTAGCATTGTTGAGCCTAAAATACCAGAAATAGTTACTCATTGTGGCTTCATGAGTGACAAACCACCCGTCTGTCTTCCCCACTTCCCGCCTCTGCTATTGCTAAACTAGCTAGGAGTAGATTATTAAATTTTCCTGAAACAGCAGGTACTGTATTGATAAATTTTTTATTCTCACCATACCCGCTAGAGCAAGGGAAGCACAGTTGTAACCCAGTTATACGGATGGAAAACTGAGGCAGAGAGAGAATTAACAGCTTCCCAGTGTTACATAGAAAGTTTGTGGTGAAGCAGGGAAGCATATTCAGGTGTTCTAAATCCCAAGATACCTGCTTATCTTTCCTCCTCATATTGTGTCCCTAATACTTTTGCTCCCTGTGGAAGGTTTCACTGGCTGACATGACTGTCCGTCTGCACTTGCAAAGTAATGACAATTTTAAGGAAGGTACTGGCAATGTATGTAGAAAATGGATGAACGGAACAAAATAATTTAATATTTATAGAAGCTCCACAACAAAATCCTAAACGTTGCCTTTCCCAGTGCCCCTTGGAAAAGACAGCCATAGTTTCCCATTGTCTAGGGTTGCCACCACCCACTTCAGACTTGCAGAGATATGGATCGTACATGCCTTTTTTCTTCTTAAAGACATCTGTGGTAATTTTACTCAAATTGTAATCCAACTAGCTGGCTCTCTTACTGCACAGCCTACCTGAACCTTTCATTCTGCTTATGAGGCCAACCCCAATGGGCCATTTATCATCTTCTCCCACAAACATCTTGGTACCCTTTTTTTCCCCGCATCATTTCCTTCTAATTTGAGTCTGCCAAACCATTTATCCTTCCTTCATTCAAACACATCCACAGTGCATTCTCACAATGTCCATGTGATATGAATCAATAACACATATATTTTAAATTTTTTTTTTTTTTACTGGAACTATCAAGAGGTGCAAAAACTTAAAGTGAGAATTCACATGTAACTCTTCTTCCTCACCTCAATCTCTTCCTACTGTTTATTAAACTTGCTCATTCGCATCACTATATACTATTGTACCCAAATCTTCAGAGGACAGACCATGACTTCATTTGTGCTTTAAGGTGCCATTCATATTTCCCGGTCCTATAAAAATAATAAATGATAACATCCACTTAGCCTGTTTCCCTAAATCTCTGAAATCAGTATAGTTTCTCTCACAGTGCAATGCTATTCTGTGTTGGTCATGTCAGATAATCCTGTCCGCATACACATGGGGATGCACAGAACAATAACTCAGACAAGCGTGTCTTTCCAGTGGTGGCTTTTTAATCTCTTAAAATCCAAGAGAGATTTTGAGATCAGTCAACCTTATAAAAATATCCCTGCTCCAAAAGGATGCCACAATTTAAACGTCATTTCTTTCAACAAAGACCTGACAAATCTCATTTTTAGGGTGCGGGGCTGTGGGAATCAGGGTGGAAGTGACAAGCTTTGCCTTTTTATGACGCGTCAAGTAATAGCTATTACTAAAGGGAAGAAGCTAGACTACAGGACTCAGCGGTCTGATCGTTTTTTAAATTCCTTTGACTCAGTTTTCCCACCAGTTTTCTTAGTCTTCGCTAAGGAAAGAAAAATTAAGTGAATGCTCTCTTTAGATTAAAATTGGTAGTTGGATATATCTGGAGAAGGCATTTATTTACATTTTTATAAATGTTATCTTTTCCAGTGGAGTAGGCAAAGACTGAGATTTTCTACTAGCAGCAACATTACTGGAAGTGCTTATTGGACAACATAACAGAAAGGTCTATCCTTTTTATATCTCCCTTTTACTCTTCTCAGCTGTAGCTGGTCCAAATGCATTTGGCTTTTACCACAGCTAAAAATATGAAGTAACATAATTCTAATGCAGGAATGAACAAGCACCAAGCTTATTATGTAAAGAAAGGAACAGTACTGTCATTAGTTCAGAATCCATTTCTCTCAAAATATGTCTAATGCACCAAACAGTTTCTGCACTGCTATATAAGAGTCTATGGTGCCAGCCCATATACAGGGCGATATCAAAACACTGTCATAAGTGCCCTTTAAAAACCCTGACATGTGCTTCATTGGCTAAACTTAGCAATACAATCTTTACACAAGACCTTTGTAACAGTCCAAAGGGACCAAAAATAAGACCTTCCAGCTCACTGCCTCTCTACTGCCGCCTCTTAAATGTCAGTTATCTGAAGTCATAATATATTAAAAGGGGGCTAAGGAGCAACAAGTTTAGAATATTTAAATCTTTTATTTTACTGAAAATGTCATTCAAGTCTACAATTTCAAAATTACTATATAGCAGGCAAATTGTTTTCTCAAACATTTGGCTATTTTAACAATACTAGCAAGTTAAGAACATTTTTAGCCTCAAATCTATAATTAAGTTACCTTATCCACAAAACGTGAACAAGTCAGTCAGTGGAGTGTCGATGGGAAAGTGTTGCTCTTGCCCAAGGACCCAAAACTGGGATCCGCTTATGTTGTGAGATACCTTGGGGTCATACATGTGTACACGGAAGAGAAAACACACCTTCCAGAAGCTGCTAGAAACTATTTTTCCCCCCAATGAGCAACTGCATTTCCTGGAAAGGCACCCTAAACGAGTACAAAAGTATTTGCCACCCACAGCATCGATACTCACACGGTCTGCAGTTATCAAAACCTCAGGAGGCGTTTTTAAAGAGGGTCGAGGAAACTGCTATGGACTTTTGCAGAGCAACTGCGCCAATGTCCTGGGTCTCTAACAATCATGCTTCGAACTGTAGCACAGTAACCAGTAAAAACGTCTGTGTGGACAGAGCGAGGCGTCCGGGTCCGGTACTGCTGCACCGCCCTGCAGCTCCGACCCAGGAGCTCCCAAGCCCCTCGAGCCTGTCACCGCCAAAGCCGCTGCTCGCTTGGCAGCGCAGCGCAACGCAGCAGCAGAGCGATGCGTGCAGGGACAGGCCCATCGCCTCTCCCGTGAGGGGCAGAGAGCCGCGATGGGCAAACTCTCTTCCTCCCCAAAGGC